ATAATAACAATAATAATAATATTATTATTCTGCACCGAAATTAAAGATGGATAAATAAAATAAAATAAGACAGATCACGGCCAACCCCCCGCGACTCCGACCGGTTGGGCAACGCAAGGAGTCCAGACCCCCAATTCATCCACACATCAAACGTACCGCCCGTTCTTTATATTCATCCATTCACTCCGTTTCTTGTCATTCACCATATCTTCCATCTCAACTCTCCCTCTCACCTTATCTACCTTCTCTCTCCATCTTCTCCACTCCTCTTCTACATCTCCACTACCTTATCCTCGATCAACTCCATACTTCGGTCTTATCCTCTCTATCCTCGACATCCACTCCACTCTTCTCCATCATCACACTGCTCCATACTTCGTACACAATGGTGTACCCCTTCCAGCCCTGGAGCCACAACCAGGCCAGCATTCGCTCCACTCCGAGCGAGGCCTCGTCCAGCAATCACAATGTCTGCCTCAGCTTCAGCTTCGATTCCCAATACTCCGCGACCAGCATCACTAGCATCACCAGCGTGCCTCCACCTCCGCCGCCGTCTCCCTGCACCAATGACCTGACCGACATCACCCCCCGCAAGTGCTCCTTCTCCACGGGCTACGATCTCAACAACTCCTGCGCGTTCCCTTCCTGGCCCAAGCGACAGTCCCTCCTGGGCGAGTCGGATTGTTCTACCGCCAGTGCCTACGTGTCGGATGAGGACCTCGGCATTGACTGCGCCATTCCCTGCGACATGACCGTCGACGAGGAGTCCGCTGCTCCGCAACCCACGCCAGCCGTCGGAGCCAGCCTGACCACCGAGCAGCAGATCCAGATGCTCCGCGCCGCCGCCGAGGAGGAAGCCCAGCGCGCGCGATTCCTGGCTCAGGTCCAAGCGCACGCGCGGGCCCAGCAGGCCCTGCGCGTCGCCCAACTGGCCACGCTGGAACGCGAAAACTCGAAGCGCAAGAAGCGCAAGGCCATCGTCCCGGAGCGCCGCCGACGCACCTCCAAGCCATTGCGCTCTTCTTAGTCTCAAACCAGCCTTTTGAGAAGCGACGCCTGCCCACGTCATCCGCGCCTCATTCTTCCTCCGCGGGGGGAATAGGGTTCTCGAGCGATCGGCGAAGATCGGCCCCGTGTCTAAATTACAGACGTGGTTGCTTTTTCTCCCCCTCCCCATCTATCTCACCGTTTCTTTTTCGACGCACGGCCTAGGCGCGGTACCCGGGAATAATCCTTGGTCGCGCCCACGCCCGGGTGCCTGAGGCGCAACCCCTCACCTCCAACCCGTGATCCGGCCTCACCGCAACTGTGTTGTGACTCACCGGACCATTCAACTGATTCAGGCGCCTCATCTGGATCTTATCTTCTCGTTGACCTTTTTTTTTTTTTCTTTTCCCATTACCTTTATTAATGTCTGATATTACGATAATCTTTGCGACGGAGTTGGCGGTTCAGCGATTGATTCCTTGGGTTCCCCTCATCCGGCCTGATTTCCCCGATGACTCAAGGCATCCCCTCCATTTACTTCCCCCACGGGCGCCTTATCATGTTTTCTTTCTTCTTATTCCTGTCTGCTCTTAGCGCCTGATACCCCTACTTTCGGCCTGATCTTTTGTCTTCTTTTTTATTTTATTTTTTCATTTGGGATTTTCTTTTATTTCACAACAGTTCATACCCCGAGCGAGCCCCGCCGCTCTCGTTGTCTCCCTTGATATATTTGTTTCCAGCAGCGGTGTTCCGGGCATACATAGGTGCATACATTACATACATAGCACGGCGGACTGGTTCTAGTGACTACAATACATAACTACATAACTACATGACTACATGACTACATGACTACATGACTACATTTACTACATACACTCTATATTTTCTAGTAAGCTGTAAAAAGAAGAAGATAATAGATACATGGTAAAAGCAGGGAAATGCTCCCTACCAGGTAGAGAGAGGGAGATAGATACTCCACCATATTACGTACGTACGGATGCACATCATGGATACCGGCTGGCGACGGACGGAACGGAACACGACACAACACAGCACAAGATGCATGCAGCAAGGACATGCTAGGTTGAGTTGAGTTGAGTTGAGTTGAGTGAGTAAGTGAGGCACGCAAACCAGAACCGGGTAGTGGGGTGAGTAGGCAAGGAAGGGCCGTGCACGGGGATCGACTTGGTCGGAAGCTGAGGTGGGTTTGTCACGTTCATGATCACGTTCATGTACTTGATTCATGATTAGTAGGGAGGGAGATCGCTGACGTATGTCGTCTGTCTGTGCTTTCTCCTCTTTCTTTTATTTCTTGACTTTATTCCTGATTTCTCTATCTTTATCTTTATCCTTAATATTAGTATACATGTAGATAGAACGAATAAAAAATAAATAAAGCAAACACCCGTTCCAAAACCCACCCAGTAACAACCCCCATCCATAACACACAGACACAGACACCAGTCTAGACCAGACCTAGAACATCACTACGAAAAATCAAGGCGTCCTGACAAATCAACGGTCCGAATCTGAAGAAGCCCTATCTCCAACAAAGCCGTCTTGGCGCCGTCAACAGCGGCAAGTGATAATTGCATATCGACCTACATAGGTGGGAGGTGGGAGGTAGGTACGGTGTTGGGTTGGGCTGCTCGCGTGGGGCGTGTGAGATGAGGCGGTGGTCTGTGGTTAGTTGGTTGGGTGTATATTATTAAATCAACAGTGAATAGGGCAAGGTAGAGGATGCCTAAAGATGCCTGATGGCTGTACTATACTAGCTACCTGTCCAAGGTACCTGTACCTAGTACGTGCTTATCGAACAAATTCACAACCGAATGTCTGTCTTGATATTCTAGTATACGAGCCGTACCTCTTGACTTGCGACTGGGCCATGGTTGGACGGTGGGGTGATGCTCACAACCCTGGTTGGCTCTCGTGCATTTACCTAGGGGGGCCTTTCTACCCACGCGCCAATGGAGGGAGTTGATTCATCACAATATGCCTTTTTGTTGGAATCTACATAGTAATATCATCATACACTACATCTTGCCTGTAGTCCCGAATCGCTCATCTATATTTCCTGTTTACTAATATGTCATATAGATGCCATTCAAGGGGTACAGAGTTCAACAGTAGCCTGGAATATAGCTGTAGACTATATAACTGTCACAAACTACAACATATGAAGCAGACGCACCTCCTACACTGCAGAGGGAGATTAGAAAGACAGGGCCATAACCCCAAACTACTACTCCCCGCTATATCCTTCCTAGCTCCCGTTGTGTAACTAGGAAGTGTTAGATTGGGAAGGCGAATTCACTGCTTGTACTCGGAATAGGAATGTATATACCGGCATTCAAGTGTAGAGGTAGTTCTATAGCATAATCAGAGACTCTAATATACAATCAACCCAAACTCCCCAGCAACGACCCCACCTCCTTAATCAACACCCCATCCTTCTTCTCCTTCCCCACCACGCTCTTCACCCTCTCGCCAGTGACTACTTCACCCACCCCCATCGCCCGACACAAGTCCACGACGCCGCCCTCAACAGGAGCCTCGTACACCAGCAGCCCGATCGTAAACAGCAGTCCCCGCAGCGCCTCAGCGCTCTCCCCCTCCTGCGTCAGCGCTTCAACCACCGACGCCGTCAGCTCGACCTGCTCCTCCTCCGTCAGGGGGTCTGGCTGCCCGTCGAAGCGCGCATTGTGGTTCTCCGCCGCGAGGTTATACGCCAGAGACGCAGCGACAACACGCAGGTTGGCATGTTCGTCCAGCAGCGAGTTCGTCAGCAGGGTCAGCACAGGTTTGTGTAGCGGGGAGTGCGGCGCGACGAGCTGATCGCGGTAGAGAGGCGTGTTGAACAGGTTGCAGACGAGCTGTAGCGCCGTGATGCGGAAGTTGTACGGACAGGGTGTTGCGGCGTCGGGAGACGCAAATGACAGAACGGAGAGGAGCGTCGTTTGGTTCGGCTCTTCGGCGAAGTAGCCTGCTACGCGCGGGTCGAGCAGGAGTAGCCGGGCTAGGTCGACTAGCGCGAAGCGAGTTTCTGGGGCTAGGGCGGCGAGGGTTTCCTGCAGGTAGGTTGCGAAGGAGGGCAGGTCGCTTGGGACGGGGACGTCGGCTTGGGCGGTGGCTGCGTGGCGACGGGTGAGGAAGTCGATCATGGACCGGAGGTGGGGGTTGTCGTTGTGGGGGTGGAGTTTGAGGACGAGTTTCTCGAGCGGCGGGACCTTCTTATACGCGACGTAGTTGGAGATGGGGCGCTGGAGGCTGGGGAGGTCGAGTTTGCGGTGCGGGTGGGTCGGGTGCGCCATGTCGATGAGCATGCGCACGTTGCCGCGTAGTTGGGCGGGGTTGGCACCGCTCCATTCGTCCATCTTGGTGCCTTTGAGAAAGGTCATGAAGGTGGGTGTGGCGCGCACGTTGTATCGGGTTGCCACGTCGTATGCCGCGCTGATGTCGACTTTGATCAGGACGGCTTTGTTGCCTGCTTCCTCTGCGAGCTCGTCGTATGTTGGGTACACTATCTTGCACGGCGGGCAGGTCGCGGACGTGAAGAAGATGACGGCGCAAGACTCCGATGCTGAGGCCATATGTTCGTCAAGTTGGGCTGTATTGGTGACTATACGGACTGCCCCTTCAAGTGGCCGCGGCACTGCGGCTTGCGGTGCAGCTGGTCCCGGGGCTTGGGTGACACCACGTAGAGCCATCTCGATCTGCGGCTTCATCATCTGCCCGAATGGGGTCTCCAGGAACTTCTGGGGAAGATTCCGGATATGCTCCGGTATACTCTTTCCCACCAGGAACATGGCGAGGTCTTGGGTGAAGTTGTTGCAGTTGTGAAGAAAGAGATCGTACGACTGTGCTGTTAGCTTGAACCCTCCTTATCTGGTGGATAGACATACCTCGGGAGAGTATATCTCGCCCAGAGACTGCACATATTCGGAAATGACATCAATAGGGAGCTCCGTCGCTCCGAGGTGCACTTTTTCTATAGGCTCGCCGTGGTGCGTGCTGCCTGGGGCAGCTGTTTGGATGCCATGTCCGAAGTAGTATTCAACGCCGCTGACCACCAGCGAGGTGTGGTAGATGGCGTCTATTTGGGTTCCCGTCAAGGGAAGTGAGTACTGGGCAAGTTAGACAACGGCATCCCACCATCTCATGGTCAATATAGAAAGGAAGCATTATAGCTACACACCATGCGCGCTAGGCCCTGTGATATGGCTGTCAGTATAAGAGTTCCGAGTGACGTTGCATCACGTACCTTGGACAGGTCATAGACGTAGAGTTCTACATCCATATTTATTACTTGAATTGAAAGCAAAACCGAGAAATACAGACTCTATAAAATTAGTTTAAAAGCGAACAACGTCTAATATAAGTATCACCAAGGAATGAGCGAGAACCAGGACGATCACTAATGCGGCTGCAGGCAGCTGCAGTTACGTCAGCGGGCAGTCACGGGGTCGCGATAGTCGCATCGCACCGATTGATCACGCTCTTTGCCATTACTTCTATGACAATGACAGGGTGATTGATAATGTCTCGCCAGGCAGACAGCCAACACGTCGCTTCCTCTGACAGACTTACTGCATCCACAACACTGCCACAGCTCCTTCTCAGCTGATCGCGAACCCCTCGAAACCCCAAGACTATCCATCTCCTAGGCACTATGGTACGCGCCATCAATCTACACCAGAACCCTGGCAACAAATTGACCATGACAGCCTCCTAAGAAACGCGCGACACCATCCGCCGCGCCCAAGAAATCGCGCGCATCCAAACTAGCCCGCGAAAACGACATCTCCGCCGAAGAGGAGAACGAAATCAAAGAAGCCTTCCACCTATTCTCCGCCCCGCACGACGACTTCCCCGATGAAAAGGAAGGCGTGATACCACAAGAGGATGTGCGCAAGGCATTGGTGTATGTATTCTCCCTCCCTATCGCGTTCCCCCGTTGCCGTCCACCAACCAGCAATACTCGCGCATCCCCGGAGAGCGAAAAAAAAAAAAAAATATAGCAGAATAACGAAACTAACAAAAACAGCGCCCTAGGCCTCCCCCCAACCGACCCCCAAGAACTGCACTCGATCCTCTCCGCCCTAGACCCAACATCCACCGGCCTCGTCCCCTACGCACCCTTCCTCGCCGTCGCAGCCGCCAAACTCCACTCCCGCTCCGACGACGCCAACGAAGCAGAAGTCGACGCCGCCTTCCAGCTCTTCACGCGCGGATCCGACGGGCCCATCACACTCAACCATCTGCGGCGCATTGCGCGCGAGCTGAAAGAGGACCAGCTGGGCGAGGACCTCCTGCGGGATATGATCCTCGAGGCGAATGGGGGCGAGGGTGTACAGGCTGGGGTTACGTTGGAGGAGTTTCGAGATGTCATGACCCGTGCTGGTGTTTTTTGACCTCTTTTGGGTGTTTGCTTAGCTGGGGTGGAGTGGTTTTCTTCCTTTATTTTCCGGCGTTCATGTGGGTTTGATTTGAGCGGCTGCTGGGATGGATGGTGTTTACGGCTTTTTTCACATGTCCCTTTTTTGCGGAGTTTTACGGCAAAGCTAGATATCTAGATCTTACTATGATCTACATGAGTAGTGAACAAAACATGTCTATCCAAACTGATCTGCTTCCGGCAATACCATACACGAAAGTACGTCCGATGAAATAGACACCTGAGGCATGATGATTATGTCATATCTGCACACCCGGCCTCTCCACCCCACCGTACATTTATCGATAGCGGATTTGCGGCAGCTCCACAAAAATATTCTACGCAGCAGCAGCTCAGCTGGATCTTTTTTTTAGTGTTTTCACAGCTCACTCCCAACTTTGCACAACACACCATGGCCAAAGTACGCAGTAAGTGTTATCTAACGTCTCTGAATTTCCGAGATTTAACTAACAAAGACCACAGACCAATCCGTGCGGTCGCGCGCCGCGAGACGACAAGCCTCGCCGAGCCTCGACGTCGATAAATCGCTGAAATCGCTGCCGCGGGCTGAAGACACCCCCGTGTCGAGGGAGTCTGTGCTCACGGACCGGCGGAACTCGGGCATTATGAAGAAGCAGAAGGGGAAGGCTTTGACGAGGGCGCAGAAGCAGAGGCAGATGAAGGGGGTGGAGCGCGCGGAGGCTGTCATAGATCAGATGGAGATCAAGGTGACAAGGAGTTCCACTCGGGCGAAGACGATTAAGGCGCGAAGTGTATGTACAACTGATTGTCCCTTGAAATTGAGTGTGGGAGACTGATTGTTTTGGATTTTAGGCCGATTGGGACGATTTGAACAAAAAGTCCAAAGGGAGCGTGTTTCAGGCTCTTAACGATGCTGAGGGTGATGTTGAGGATGAGGGTGATGGTGATGCCATGGTCGACGATTCTGGCGCTCCTGCTCCTGCGGCGACCGATGCGCCGGCCAAACCTGCAGCAAAGCCCGTGTTTGCGACGCAGAACCCAGCCGTGGCCGACCATGCCGATAACGACGAAGACGAAGAGATTACGTGAAGGACGGACAGATCTGTAAAAATGACGGAGGCGCGGCGCTATTTTCTCGGTCTTAGCTGATTGATCATTCGCTCAATTTCGCTCGCGGCTGGCCCCGAGGCTCTTGCCCGCAGGAGCTCAAGGGTGTTGACATCCTTGGCCCGAAAGGCTTCTTCTCCTGCTTTCACGACCATTCCACATTTCACCCACATGTCTACCTTATCCGCAGCGGCGAGGTTGGTGCATTTGGGGACGAATAACGATGCAAGTTTTGTGTTCCCGGCACCAAGAATTTCGTTGTAGAAAGGCTGTATCCGTTAGCATGCACATCGGAGTTTCAAGGGTCGAGGGACTCACCTCCCATCCGATGGGCGACTTTTTGGCCCGGGCGAGTTCTTCCAGTTCACCCCAATCACGTTTCGCTACTAGTGCTCTCAATCTCAACCACCAATATGTCTTATCCGGCATCTTGAACTCGCCCTGTAGTTTGTGCGCACGTTTGCCGTAGCCTGAGCGGATCAACCTGTAGACCGTCTCGTTCAAGCTCAGCCCTAGGAATTCCGTTCGATCCGCGAGGTCCTTGTCGAGGCCGTCTTGGATCTTCAACAGTTGAGATGCTTCGGTGAGGAGTTTCTGCTGCAGGACCACGGTAGGGTCCTTGGAATCGGCGAGTAGTCGCGTTGCGAGGTTGACCGTTTCGGTCTTGCGCATCAAATCCGTCTTATCCAACGCTTCCGCGAGGAGCACGTTCGAGCCGTCGATCGGCCGGTCGTCCTGGTAGTAGAGGTCTTTGAGCAACTCCGTGTCATCCACCCGCGCGTTTGTCTCCACAAGCGCAGACGCCATGGGTCGCGTATTTATCATGCGGAAGAAACTGCTTAGTGGGAGCTTGGCCTTCAAGTGCAAAAGCACAAAGTTCACAAGGTCGTCGTCTCCGCTCTCGATGGCCTTGTCGAGCGCGATCTCGTCCTCCTCCATGCTCAAAAGCAATGGAACTTGCTTTCCGGCCCGCGGCTCGTGGTTCAGCAGTGCAGTCGCCAGATGGGAGCGTCCCTCGTCGTACGCGGCCTGCGCGATCAATTCAAACGAGATGCCCGGCTTTCCTTCCAGTCTTTGCACGATCAGTTTGCAAACGGCCTCGTCATCCACTGTCGATACCTTGACCTTTTGGCTTGCCCAGTGAACGTAGATTCTGTCGGCGGCAACTTGCAGATACTCGGAGATCCGAATAGCAAGGAGATATTCGTGTCGGTTGATCAACCGGTCGATCAGCCGCTCCGGGGTCAGACGCATGTACTCCTCGTACGAAATGGGAAGGCCGATCTGGAAGTCGCGGACCGCCGTTAAAACGCGCAACTTCTCGGTCATCTCCACAAACTCATCGCTGTTGTATAAATCGAGCACCGATTTACCGAACGACGCGGCCTTGAGCAATCTCTTCTGCCAGTAGGTGTCAAACTCGTGACCAGCAGCCTTGACGCAGGCGTCCACAGCTTCCGGTAAGCTGGCTCGAATGCGCTGTATATTTTCATCCGCTTTGGGCGACTTTTTCTCCAGGAGGTCGATACAATCCAAAAGCACAGACGCGGGAGATGTTGAGCCAAGGCGGAAGATCTCCTGTGTGACATCTGCGACCGTTAGACGTGGGTATGATATTTGGGGTGCTGCGACTCACCGGAAACCTTGTGCAAGAACTCGCAGGTGTCATTTGTGATTAAGCGTACGCCATCAAACTCGGGGACGACGTGTACGGTACCATCGTAATAGTACCTACCAACGTTAGACGCTTGAGACAAAAGAGACAAAAGCCCACTTACCTAGCAGCCACCCCGTTCGGTCCGATGAGATGAATCTCATCCTCCCAGGAAATGATAACCGCATCGTCCCCACACCATTCTACCGACCTCGGGGTTACCCGCGACTCGGGATCATATTCGCTGTACTTGCTCTGGAAATCACTGCTCACCACCCAGACCTTGCCTTCGGCCGTGAAAAGCGCCACAAATCGCCCCGTTGGGGAAACGCTCGCATGCTTGAACGGGCCATTCTGAAGGACTTTATCCTCGGCTTCCGTTGGATCCACCATGTAAATAGTCTTGTCAACAGCCAAGAGCACCTCCACCGACCGAGATAGCGTGTAAGATGGAGGAATAAGCGACCACGAGGATACCTCTCCTTCCGGACAAGGCGCAAGGAGTTTTGGGCGAGGCTCTTCGTAGCCGGATACCGCGATAAGTTGGTTGTTCGAGAGCAAGGCGACAAAACCCGAGGTCCAGAACCGGCAAGCCCTGACACCGTACTCTTCCGCACCCTGTAGTATGTTAGGGCTGACTGAAATGCCGATGGTTTGCTCTAATGCTTACGTTGCCGAGGGAAAATGTGGTGAAATCGCCATGTAGGCCAAAGTAGCGACGGACGGTACCGTCTTCGGTGATGACCAATAGCTCTTCCTTGTCGGACCATCCGAGTCCTCTGACTGCACCATGCTCCCACTGGTATTGTCAGTAAATTGAAAAAGACACCAGAAACCACGAGAGAGCTAACATTGATTTGGTTTATCGGCTTTCCGGAGCATGAGTAGATGTCGATGCTTGATCGGGCCGTATGCGCATCCCGAAACCGCATTGGCTTGCTCTCATCACGATGGAGCGCTGTAGACAGTTCATCAGTATAACCAGACAGAGAAGATCATCAAATCCAGGCATACCCAAGGCCCCGCCATACGGAGCACCTGCGAGGATGTAGTTGTCTAGCTCCAGGTCTTCGTCGAATATGGCGTCGTAGATGGGGACTTTTCGGTAGAAGCTGTCCCCGAGACGCTCCCAATTAGCGAGCGGGTTTGATGGAGCCATGGGTGCAGCGTCCATCCATAACCACCCTGGGATGAATGGGAAAGAGAGAGTCGGGGAATGGAGACGGAGATGGACGCATTGTCGAATTGTTTGGTCGCGACTCCAGCTCACATGGGGTCGTCCCGCCGCTTCTAACCCGATCGGTCTGGTCGATCGGAGCTCCTGCTCACCGCCATTACTTCCGCCTTATCCCTCTTCAGCTATTTGTTCATGTTGAGCAGGGATGGATTCTGCCGGCACGAAACACCACTGCGTCATCACAAACGGCAGCCTCAGGCAAGAACAGGCACCGACCATTTTCTCGGCCAACCAGCGTCGCTTTATCCGTCATACCGCCAACAACACTATGATGGCCGATGCAGCATATCATGAATGACCCAACCCTGATCAGGAGCGTTGCTCAGGAGCTGTCTGATCTTGAGGTGGCTATCTTACTATGTCGTGCTGCACACGGCCACTGCCGCATCGATACAGCGCGCGACAACATCTCCGACGTCGCTAAGGAGCTCGCCCTGGTATGTCGGGGATGTCTACAGGGTAGTGCTAGAGGCTAATTTGTCCGTTAGATCTGCTCAAACACGTTTAATCTATCATATAATATTCTCGATTGCTCTGCAGGCACGACTTTCGATGAATTTTGCGTGGAGCTTCTGCCGTCTATCGCACGCAGGAGGTCGCCAGGCAGCAAGGTTGCTCCCGAGCTGCCGATAGTCGATGTAGTGATCGCGATGAATTTTAATTACGTTGACGAACGAATTCAACTTCAAGCACTTGAGGTGAGAATCACCTCGTATTTTCTAGTCGCACTGCTAACTCCGACTAGTTGATGCGCTCCAAGAAACTTGTGACACAAGATGGCATCTATGTCGCGCCAGAACGTTTTGTCTTCCTGCCCCTTGTGGCTAGCCCCTTAAATAATGCCCAGCCCAGGCTGAACCGTCATTTGGTCAGTGGTTTTCAGATGTCTAGAGTATAGGACGCATGCTGACAACAGTAGAATGACCATCTTATCATCTCCCACTATCACGATGCAGAGGATGGCTACGTGTACCTTGAAGATGCCAATGGCTGGATCTCGGATGACCATATGTCGGCTTCGTCTGTAGTCCGCAAATCAGACATACCGATTGCCAGGGAACATCCGTTGGTCGATCAGGCGGTTCGTCTCTATCTTACTCTGTTCTTATTTGCCTTTTGTCTTGAAGCTCCAGGCTGATCAGTCGTGACAGGCAGTTGAAAAGCTCGAAGAGGCAGCAAATGCTGTACTAGTGAACGCGGATCTCATCCGGTACCACCAGGATATTGTCGTGTTTTTGCGGCTCAGCCGTGCCGTGGCCGGGGGAATATCTGCCCGGTCTAATATCCTCTTCATGAAATTATCCAAGTAGGTCATCCATTGTAAAAGTATAGGACCATGCTGACTAGACAGATTCCTCGCCGCACTGCATGGGATTGATTTTCTCACCCCGTCCATCGTCGCACTCGCTGCGAAGAAGGTGTTCCGTCACCGCATTGTCATCGCAACCACCGAGGATGATCGCAGCCTACAATACGGGAGTGACCCAGCGGCAGTGGCTCAAATTCTGGCTCATGCGAATCCGGATACAGTTCTAGAAAGCGTGCTAGCATTGGAAGCCCCGTTGTAGCTACTCAAACACTCAGCCTAGTACTCAGCTCAGTGCCTCAAAGCTGCCAATACCTATTCTACACCACGGCGAACTCACGTCCATGCCTCGAAGGTGATTGATTGGGGTGCGTCGAAGACAAAAGAAGCCCTTTGTAGCACCCGTCATATTATGGTTATCTTAAGATTGTCGGCGGAGTATCTGAGGAAGTCTAGGCTGATGCTCTCTCAGACTCACGAGTAGCTCTGAAGCGATTCTGTGCTCACCGCGTCATTGAAACCAGCATGGATTTTATGGGAGATTATTGGGTTCACATAAATGTGCAACATCACAAGAAACACCTCACCGATGCCATCTTCTTGTTTGTTAATCGCAAACGGATCTAAATGGGTCCCCTCTCGGTAAAGGGGAGGAGAACTAGGGGAGTGAGCCAACCGCAAAACCAGCCCATGTAGTTGAAGGGGGTTATTGAGATAAGGTCTCCAGGTACGACGTACTACCCGCCTTATTCAATGGTCAACACAACAGTGTCAAGCTTGGAGGATTGGTATAAACTTCCTAGGGATTCCAGCTCCACCAATCATTCGAGACGCAGATTCAAGATCGGTAGGCATGGATTGCCCTTCCTTCGTTGCTACTCATCTTGACAACTCTGTTTCTGGAAGTCACCATTTTGAAGATAAGACAAAAAGGCCCCAAGGCGTGAAAGTCTTCCCCGACGGCCCTGGCTTGCGCGGGTGTGGATGAAAAGACCCAGCAACAAGTTCATGAAGGTGGAGATCCAGTTAAGAAGGGGGAGCTGGCTGTAGATATGCTAGTACACCTTTAGAAGCACGAAAAGGATGTTACTGGTAGTTACTGGAAGCTGGAGGCTTCACGATCTTTGACATAAACTTGATAGTTTCATTGAGTACATTTTCCGGGAATTCAACTTATGTATTCAAAAACCCTGCCCTCCTAACTCCCCAAGGCACACTTAGATGCTTATGCCACAATTGGAGAGTAATCCTGGACCGCAGAACAACACTGATTTATGGCTGTTCTGTAAAGGAAAGCCCTTGGCTGGCAGTGGAGTACCCTGGAGAGGCTGTTGAATACAGTAAAACTACTCTCGTCAACCCGCTATTTTCTTGTGATTCGTTCATATGGTATATAGTTTTTTCTTCTTTTTTTTTTCTTTCCTAGAGAATATTGATACTGCGGTATCTCGGTGATCAGCTATTTAACCACCTATCTGGGGCTATAGATTCAAATCACATTGGCAAATGATATGTCTAGCGACGTCATTAATATAAAGGATCGTCGTTGAATGACCCAAGCCGCCCGATCCCCGCGTCACAGCCTTTGAGACCTTGACTATAGATTATTTGTTCATCGTCCCCTCTTTAAGCAAAGAGGCATGCTTTGTTTCGAGTTCTGCCAGGGCAACGAGCTGTGGAACCTATCCAGGCTCAAATTCTCTACTAGTGGAGGACTGGCTTAACCTGATGGGGCACGAACTGGAGCAGGCTAAATTATCGTCCAAGACGCGTTCTGACCGCCAGATCCAAGACCCCGCGATTACAATATTTCTACAACGCGTCATTTAGTCCTAGGACCAAAAAACAAAAAAAAAAGGAAGATTGCAAGATGAGAGTAAACTTCAGTGAGCCAGCCACGCCGGCGATGAGTCGACAGACCTCCAGGCTGTTCGCTCCGCATCACCAGCGCACGGGGACATATCCGCACCTGCTCACTGCGCGTCGCAAGCCCCGCCGGTATGTAGCAGTTGTCTGCTCCTAGAGGGACTACCTCGACAATGATATTGGATATTGACATTCGCGAAGGTGGCCGCTTGTTTTCCGATTCGTGAAAGGCGCCATTCACGGCGCCATCATATTGTCTGTGATATTCCACGCGCTGTTTACGTCTTTCATTGTCTATCTAGACCAATATGTTTTTGACACCGTCGGGCTCCCCAGTAGCATAGTAAGTGAGCCGCGCTACCCCGCACTACCCTAATGCAGTCTCGCAGCGACTCACTAGCCAGATCCCGTCATTGTCAATAGTGGTCGGTTTGATGCTGGTCTTCCGCAACCAAACCTCGTATAACCGATTCTGGGACGGTCGCAACGCCACAACGACTGTCTACACATGCATTCGAAACCTGGTCCGCACGACTATCACCAATGGCTACAGCACGAAGCGGCCGCTGAACGAGGCGGAAAAGCATGACATCGAGCGCACAATTCGAACGCTGATGGCTATGCCGTATGCTATCAAAAATCATCTCCGCGCGGAGTGGGGCGCTACTCTGGCACTGGGAGACGACGTCGGAGAGAACGGCATCGCTAAGTACGATTCTGATTATGCGAGTTTGCTACCTGCAGATGTGGAGGGCCATGAGGACGAGGGACTGGGCTTGCCCTTCCAATTAACCTTTTTTATCGACGGCTTTATCAAGCGAGGCGTCGAGAGGGAATGGTTCAATGCGCCCGCGGCAAGTCAAATGCAGGCACAGCTAAATACGCTGGTAGACGCCTACGGAAAAATGGAAACAATCAAACTGACCCCTATCCCAGTGGCGCATCTGTAAGTAGCCTCCTATATTCTCGCAAGCCAGAAAGCGAGCCTAACCCCTTAGGATCCACCAAAAACAAGTCCTGGCTCTATTCGGCTGCGTTATCCCATTCGGGATGGTGGACGACCTTGGCTGGTGGACAGTCCCTATCGCCAGTCTGGTGATCTTCACGCTGTACGGAATTGAGGGCATTGGGTCGCAGCTGGAGGACCCATTCGGATACGACCGCAATGACATTAAAATGGATGCCATTGCGGGTGACGCCAAGACCGAGATCGACGCCGTACTCGGTGAATGGCGGAGATTGATGGCAACGGTCCAGCCGTTAGACCGAACTGGGGATGGCTCGGTGGACGATAAATATGTGCCGCCGGAGATGTTCATCAGGATCAAACCACGGCCGGGGCGGCAGCACTAATGCCCCCATTACGCGGGGGGTATCCCCGGATCTTACATATCAAATGCGGAAGACACGAGAGTAGGATTGAATCGAACAGTTACAAGAATATTGAGATTGGTGCGCTCAGGACGCGTCGGAAAAAACCGAGTGTGAGATTCGGTTCCCAAGCTAACAGTTCTTAGGGCCGTCGGCTAACCCCGATCGTCAGTGAAAAAGCATGACGATCGTCAGGGGTCTACCATATGAAGGAAGGATAATCGCATCGACGATAGATCCAAGAAAACAAACCAGCGAGATTAGGAGCGCAACAGCCAGTGAAAGCGTTGATGCCTTGATCCAAAAAATGATAAACAGGCCATATTTAGGTTCTTATCGAGATCGTCAACGAATCCATCGCCTCCCATAAAGAGGAAGGCAACATAAATAGCCCATCCTTCCTCCCCAGCGTACTGTACCGTCCGTAGTGTCAATCCCTCCCCACCACTGCAAAAAAAAACAACCACCAAGATGCAGTTGACCACCATCCTCTTCGCGGTCTACGCGTACGCTCTTTTCCCCCTCGCCTACGCGCTCAACCCCCGCGCGACCCTCCAAAACTGCCACAATGTCGACCGCCTGGACAGGACCGTCCAGCGGATGCACCCGATTCTGTTCAAGCTATCCGATATGCATAAGGGCAAATTCAGCCCACCCTCGAACAAGACCGTCACCACCGGCGGCCCCGGCCACGGCCGCCGCCACGCACACGGCGACAAGGAGGCCCGCGACTTCAGCGACTTTATCCAGAAGATTGAATCCCTCCACGAGCTTCTCACCCACTCGCAGGACAAGATCGCCTCCAAGAGGTTGACGTGCCAGACGCCTGCGACTGGAGCTAAGCTTCTGACGGCGAGGGATCTGCGAATTCGTGACGACGATGATGACGATGAAGAAGAGGAGGAGGATGAGCACGACCACTCGCATTGTGGGCTCGACGATGTCATTGATGAGCTTCTGGAGGCCGTTGAGTGTCTGCTGTCGTTCCTCTTCGGCCTGTTGGGCGGTGTTGTGGAGCTGGTTTTCCATTTGCTGGAGGGTGTTGCTAAGATCATTGGCGAGATGCTGGATCTTGATTAAATGTGGTTTCTCCCCACTAATTTGCATATGGGGTGGAATATGTGCTTTGTGCATGAACTGGGTGGTGTATACTATCTAATATCGGGAGTTATGGGTCATGTATACTACATTGATTCTATTGCAGTACAAAATGATATTAAAATAGTTAATACTGATAGTCAGTTCTTGGACATTAGTTTTAACTCTGTAAATAAGAACGGTAGGGTTGATTGAATGACCAGCTTGACAGCACGAATGACAGCCTCCGCAGAAGCTCATATGTGAACAAAACGGGCTGGCATTTGGTTTTAGTAATGACATGCTCTACACCATGTACCAGTGCCTTGTCTGCCTTTTCCTCATCCAATATTTGTTCTAATGGCGTCTTGAAAACCCGTGTCGGCTGTCTACTGTCATTGGCGAATGTTCCCAGGTGATAGCTGCGTTGAAATATCACCGCTTGCGAGCATTTCTAGCATGTGTATATCACATCACACTCACAACCTGTTTGAAGCGCATGCCTTTCACTCCGGTAAAGAAGTCGGTTCAGCTTACAGCAAGCTCGAATATCGGGATTTTGAACATGCAGGTATTCCAATATGTGATCCGTGAACAGATCATTCTCTACTACCGTTCTTCGTTTGTCGCTCATGAAAAGCATATTACCCCAGATACTGCAGAAGTATTACGGTTGATTGAAGAACGCCTGTGTGCTCCCAGTCGGTCACAATGTGATCTCATACGCCATGCCCATCGGACAAATAGTCCCATGCGAGGTGGGTCGGTGGTCACGACCCTTGCATATAGACCTCATTTCCTCTCGAACGGCGACTCGGATGGAATATATCACCGCAATTTGGTCACAATCACCTCTCTACCACGCGGCAAGTTTAGGTCAGATGGCAACCGTATTGAAAGATAATCCCGAGGCGAAGGACAACCCTCCGACAGAGGCGATACATATCGAGGCCGGCGAGCACCGCGTATCCCCTCTGGAGTGGATTGGTCGCTCGGAGCTTACCGAAGTGACTCCAGTTGAAGCGTTCAAATGCAATGTCGAGGGAGACCAGTCGCCATGTGAGTGTTAGATAAACAATCCATGTGTCCCAGCTAATAACTTCTAGTCCCCGAAGTAGCAGCATGTGTATCGAACAAGGATGACCCTGAGCTCTTGTGCAATAGTACGCTGGCTTTTTGTTTCATTTCTGACAATTGTTAATGCGTTCAGCTGTCCGAGCATGGATGTTGACCACCGTGTTTGTGGTGCTTTTTGCTGGAGTAAATCAGTTCTTTGGTTTGCGATATGTAAGCCGTCCTTACCATACTGTCTGTTATGGATACTAACTATTACAGCCATCCCTTTCAATTGGCTATGTTGTTGCCCAGCTTTTGGTATTCCCCATTGGTAGAGCGTGGGAAAAGCTGCCGCGGTGGAGGGTGCCCTTGGGAAGATTCACATTCGACATCAACCCCGGACGTTTCACCATCAAGGAGCATGCGCTAGTGGTAATCGTAAGTTGACTGCCAACTCTTGGAATAGCAGTCCTAACACATAGGGCAGTGTGTCAATATAAGTGCAGGTACGGCGTATGCACAGGGCTCACTTGTAGCAATAGTGAGCCCAGTATTCTGGAATCGAGATTATGGACCGGGATTCAGCTTTCTATACTTACTGACTACCCAGATGCTCGGGTGAGTGAACATCCAGGTTATCTTCGACCAACTGCTAAAAAAATTAGTTTCGGTCTGGCAGGGCTCGCTCGACGATGGCTCGTTTACCCAGGAGCGCTCATATGGCCCACGTCACTCTCGTCTACAGTGCTCTTCCGAGCGCTGCATGAACCAGAGAGCCGCACGCCTGTCAATGGCTGGACCATCAGCAGATACCGCTTCTTTATATACTTTGCGATGTTTGCCTTTGTGATCTTTTGGTTTCCAGATTATATTTGGACGAGTCTAGCCACATTCGCCTTTGTTGCATGGATTTTCCCGCACAACCAAAAGGTTAACACCATATTTGGGGTATGTAACGTCACTCCGGTGCTTTATGATTAGGGCTTATATAGCTTCAGATGAACTCCGGCTTGGGCTTACTACCTATCAGCCTTGACTGGACGCAGATCAATTATGCGGGCTTCCCTCTGACCACGCCATTTTACATCACCTGCAACGCCTACGCAGTGGTCGTCGTATTTTACCTCTTCCTCTCACCGATCCTATACTACAGCAATGTCTGGAACAGTGCATAGTAAGAGTAACGCTCCCAAACCAGATTGCGTCTAATATGTTAGTCTCCCTCTTTTATCTGCAAGCACATACGACAACACCGGTCAGCAATACAATGTCTCTCGCGTAGTCGACTCCAGCCTCAACTTCGTTCAGAGAAAATACGAAGTCTACTCACCAATGTACATATCCATGTCGTACTCGCTCACATATGGACTTTCATTTGCCGCAGTAACCTCCATTATAGTGCACACATATCTCTACAACGGAAAAGAGATCTGGGCCAAGGTCAAAAATTCACGCCACGGCGGTGAAGACATCCATCGACGGTTAATGCACGCCTACGCAGAGGTCCCAGATTGGTGGTACGCTGCACTGACGGTAATATTATTGGGTTTGGGGATACTAACTGTCCAGTACTGGGACTCGGGACTGCCCGTGTGGGGGTTCCTGGTCGTGTGTTTCGGGCTGGCGGTGGTCTTAATCGTACCGGAGGGTATCCTCCAAGGGACGACGAACCAGCGCGTGTTTTTGAATATCATCGTGGAGTTCATTGCCGGTTATGCCTGGCCCGGGAATGCAATCGCCAATACAATGGTAAAGTGCTACGGCAATAATGCTGTCAAGCATGGATTGGACTTTGCGCAGGATTTAAAGCTGGGGCAGTACATGGTGAGTTTTATATTCTCGTTTGTCTAGTCAATACGGGTCTGACGGTGTTAGAAAATCCCTCCCAGAGTTCTTTTCTTTGGTCAAATATACTCGAGCATCCTAGCAACCATGACACAGACGGGAGGTATGTAATTGCTCGTGACCTGTACATCTTATAGCGCATGCAACTAAGATAAATTAAGTACTTCGCTGGATGCTCGGAAACATTGACAAGCTCTGTGAGCCCACCAACACACAGCGTTTTACCTGCAACGGCGCCAAAGTAATGTACAACTCATCCTTGATTTGGGGGACAATCGGCCCGCAGCGGATGTTCCAGTCGGGCCAGATTTACAACGGCTTAGTATACTTTTTTATAATTGGAGTAAGTGTCCATCTCTACGTGATGTGGGCTACACTTACCATTCAGCCTGTTATTACCGTCCTCGTCTATCTTCTGTACAGGAGATACCCCACCAGTTGGGTCCGCTATGTCAATGTTCCAATATTCTTCAATGCGGCGGGTAATATCCCCCCCGCGAACACCAGTAGGTCTCTTATAGCACCCTTCGGCTTTTTTAATGCGTAGGGCTAAAAATACTAGCACAATACTCTTTGTGGTTCATCGTGGGCTTCATCTTCAACTACCTGATCCGCAAGCGCGCTCTGGACTGGTGGAAGCGCTACAATTGTACACTCTCCCCCTAACACACGGATTAGTACAACAAAGTTTAACCAGTTGGGTCTAGATCTCCTTCAAGCGGCAATGGACACGGGAACTGCACTCGCAACGATAATTATCTTCTTTGCGCTGAGCTACCACGGGATCAACTTCATGTGGTGGGGCAACACGGTTGGATCAGATACGGACGATGCGAAATCGGTGCCTTGGCTGAAAGTTCCGGAGGGGGGCTATTTTGGGAAGGGTCCTGGCCAGTTTTGAACTGTGTCTGGACTAGGCTCTGTATTATTGAACGGCGGATAAAGGTATTATCTCGGGATGGTCGCTGGAGAAGAATGTCTGCTATCTCTCTGACTAGCGAAGGGTGCGCGAGATTGTCCTACTGCGGATTGAATCATTTGAAGTTTAGGGTGGTCTACTGGGGTTTTAGTGGCGCCCAAGGGAATGTAAGACATAGATCAGTGTTGAAAATCGTTCGACAGAGCTCCTAAAAATTCTCTTCCGACTATGGTACTATCTCTCATTGTCAAATGATAACTACTTATATGGAGAGTAAAACATCCGAAAGTACGTCAATACGAAGGCATAGCAGACTGAATGGACACAATTTGAAGGATTACCCGCCTTATCAAAAAACCAAT